AAATGAGTAGAAAAATAAGTCAGAAATGTTCTGCTAGTTGTAAATGAGTGACATTTCTTTTCATCTGCATGTCTGGATCCTAATAATTAGACCTTTTCAGTAGGTGGTTCTCAATCATAAGCCTATGAACTGGCAGTGAGCTTCTCACCTGTGTGGCATAAGTTCCTTCATTTGCATTCCTGTTTCACTAACCCTGTTAACTTTTTCTTTTGCCCATTCTTAAAAGACATTGCCTATGGAAACTAGGAAAAATAGCAAGTAGTTTTTGCATAATAAAAAACCGCCTTAATTTTGTTTTGTAGCTTCAGCCTTTATACTTCATTTAGACAAGGGAGAACTAGAATTAAAATAATTTAATTTTCTTGGTCACTTACAAGCCAGGGAAGATAAGGTTAGGATGTTAAAGCTATAGGAGCACAATTTATGCATTATGCAGTAAGCTGGCTTCTTGTGCTTCACTTATGAATTGAATAACCTCACAGTTAATAGGATTACACATTATTCCAAGAACAAGAACAAGCCAGTCTTACAGACATGAACAAACCAGGAAAAGGTATGCATCACTGCCCTCTTTTGCTATTCTTTTGTGCTGTCATCATGTTCTACACAAATGCAGCACTTACAACCATGACCCCGCACCCATAGTCATTTTTTTTGGTGGCAGTAGTATGGGAAGCAAAGACATCTATGGCATGAAAAAATAAATGGTCAGTCAGAACATGTCTCTGATTAATGTTCCTAGATATGTCTGTCAGTCCTAGATGTGTCTTCTGTTTAGACTGGTACCTGATCTTGGACATGGAAGTTGTAACTGCAGCTTTTGTCCGCTTTTTCACATTAATTAGGAGTAAAACTATCATGCTGCAGCTCTGCTTTTTCTGAAGCATGTTCCAGGGGACTTCTATGGATAGGAATACATAGAGAGCATGCTAGAGCTGGCTGGCATGTAACTTAAAAGAAAAGCGTGTCACGTGGCTCAAGTATTTTCATGGGGCTCAAGTCTTTCTTTGGAAGTTAATCTCACAAGCAGTAAATCTGTTACTTTAATATTTTCAATTTACACCATTTGAGTTGGGAATTGAAAAACAGAACTATTTAATCTGTGGACCAATGGCAAGCATTGTCGAGTGGCAAATGTTGCTCCAGATACAATACAGCAGGAAAGTTTCCTGTATACATGTTCTAGGTGCTGGAGGAGAGTTTGGGGATTCCTTTCTTTCTGTCTTTGGAGACAAGCCTGAATAGCTCAGAATAGTCAGGGATGTTCTTTTGCCATTTCATACACCACAAATTTAAAAGTAAAAAAAAAGAATAAAAGTATATGTAACCGCATTAATTATATTATACAGAGTTGTTTTTTTTTAAAGTATTTTAGTGGTAGCTCATAAGCTTTGCTGATTACATTCTTTCCATGACCAGAAATTAGCTCTTTGTTTATAGTGACCTTTTCATGGCAAAAATGCTCCAAGACTCAATCTGTTCCTACAAAGCGAGTCTCAGGATTGCAGATGTCCTCCTTCTTTAGAGTACTGTTACTCAGTCTCAAGGAGTTATTACAGGAATCTTTGTTTTAGTCTAGTCAATCCAGCTTTCTCTGATTTAGGTCAGATTAAAAGGTTACAGTTTTGACTGCTTTTCATCAGGTTTATCATGGGTCACAGCTAATTGCTGCCTCTTGTGGCAGAGATCCTGGTGACACTACTCACTTCTCCAATACTCTGGATTCTTATGCTGCTTTGCCAGATATCACTAGCAGTCCTATTTTGGTCTCAGTCTTCTCTCCATTTAGTTGTAGTTAAACCATAACTCATTACATCACTTACATTTAGCAAAGCAGCTGTGACTCCCAGATATGTGGTCCCTCATATACTCAGGCTGCTCTTGCACCTATGGCAAAGCAGGACAGGAACTCTCAGCAAAATTTGCTTTGCATCAGCGTCTGGTGTGAGCACATTTCCTACCCTTTCAGTTCCCTTTCTGCTTCTTCCTGCTTTCCTAATCTGACTCTAGCATTTTTGGTCACACCCAGCAGGTATGCAGAGGGTCCTGGACATTCAGGTCCTGGCATGGCCACCCTGTAACTTTGTTGTGTCAGTTGGGACTAAGAAAACTTCTTTGCTTTCTTCCATCTCTTTTTGTTTCCTGATAACATTGGAGAGGATGCTTCCTAGTTGCCCTGGGAGCATTTGTCTAAACTTGTATCTTAAAGCACCATTCTTCAGAGAGGTCTCTTCCTGTCTCCTCAAACATACTCAAGCACTTCTCTGGATGGCATATGAAAGCAGCAACCTTAATTTCCAAACATTCTGCTTTAAACCTACTACCTGATTATTCCTCATATTAGCCACCAAACTGTAGTTATTTCAAATAGAAATGTATCTGCAATACATTCTAATATTCTACATTCAACAAGAGAGTATATTCCCAGGAGTAAGAAGAAGGAGTAGGTAAGAACCTTACACAGTAGGCATAAATTATTCATCTCTTGTTTCCTAAGATTTACTGCAGCTATTTATGGTTCAATTCTGGGCCAGAATGAAGAAGTCAAACAATCAGACAAACAGTCAACCCTTTGGCCATATTGTGGACCAGTCATACTTGCTATCACACTACACAAAGGTACTGTTTCTGCTTCCATATGCTCTGTGTTCAAAACAAGTAAACACACAGAATAGGCAACGCCTTACTGCCCTCACACCTTCCAAACCACATCCCTGTGCTGTGCGGAATCAGTGGGCCATTAGCTACCTTGATCAGCTTCCTACTACACTGTTGGTCTCTTCCTTGCAGGTTTTCTGTACAGCTACTGTGGAGATGCTATTTCATTTCCACCTGGAATGCAAATTGCTCTCAGCAATAAACACCTTCTTTTGATTGCTACTGATTTTTCTGCTGTAAAAATATATTATAGACCCAAATACAGTATAAGAAACCCCAGACAGCAATTGGAACACACAGCTCAATCAGTTTGTATTGTTATCTTTTGCCCTTCCCATTGTCTTAATCCAGCCAGTCTCTGTTCCTGCTCCTTTGACAGGAAGTGTGATTTTGGGTTTTCTGTATGGCGCAATGCAGATCCATGACACTGTACAGAAACATTTTATAGACTGAATATGTGTAATCATGAAGAATATCAGTCTTCAAGGCTAATGGAGTTGTAGAAATGAGATGTAAATAGTTACTGAAGTGAATAGGCAGAACTGAAGTTTTTTCCCAAACTGCTGACTCAGAGTGTACCTTCAAAAGCACAGACTCTACATGCTTTGCATAATTGGAAGTAGATTTCTGAAGTCATTGTTTACATAGCTTTATATGACAAATGAGATTTGCATATCAATTTAAAGTTAAAAATTTTTCTGTCTCTTCAAGAAAAATACTTCCACATTTAGTAATTATAAAAGCAGAGAAAAAACAAGGGTAGGCTTGAAGCTGGGACAGACCTCTACAGCAGTTTATTGAAAAGAACATAGGTTTTCATTTCTAGTAATGATTCATCCTGTAAAATGGAAGAATTCATTTGCTTTTTCAATAACACCTGTATGTATTTGTGTGAAAGCAAGTTCATTGCTTTACAGAGAAGAGAGGATGCGCAACAAAATTACCTAAATCAAGTATTACTGGTGAAAGATGGTAATGTTGCTTTCTTTCCTTTTTGAATACAAAAGAAAATAAGGATGGGGATTTTTCATTGGTTTCTTTTTATTTTAGTATTTCATTTATATACAGAACTGATCTAGGAAACTGATCTTGTCAGCAGTTACTATGTGTGCTAAGGCAAATGAGTTACCATGAGTCAAATGTATATTTAAGAAAATATAAACTTTTTTGAAATGGAATTTTTCATTTGGGAAAGTTCATTAGATAGTTTCCTATATTCAGATTCCAGATAGATTCCTCTATCTAATAAATTTCACTAAGTTTCAGTTATTTACCTTACAAACACGTGAGTAAAACCAGTATAATTGGTTACTCTGATTTTAACATGATTTGTGGCCTTTAGACTCTTAAGTGAAATTTTCCATGGTGCTCATTTTGAGGCCAACACTGTGCCTTCAGTCAGTACTGAATGCCAATTGTGTTCACTGGGAGCATAATGAGGCCAATAGAGAGCACTTTTGTAACCACCCTCCCGCCTCTGTCCAGAAACTGGAATCACTGCTTCGGAAAGGCCTCATTGTGGGTGATTAGTTGAGGGAAAATACTGAGGGAGAATGTGCAAAAAGTACACAGGCAAAATGCTTAATGCTCCATAAGGAACAGAAAAGCCCTAACTTCATTTGTATCTCAAAGGAACATTAACCATAATTATGTTACTAGCAAGTACTCTTCTTTATGAATTTTCTCTAAAAATAACAACTCTGAAATTACTTTATCAAGCATGAAATACCCTATTTTAAGAATAATCTTCCATGCTATATCTATATTTTATCTCAGACAGCAGTAGCTTAAGAAAAGTGAATGGTCTGAGATGTTTTGCTGTATGTGCTGTTGTGTTTGGGGAAAAAAATGTGTATATCAAAGATTGCAGCATTAGAGCCAAATACCCTTCCTTGAATTGTTCTTTCTTACACTATGTTTCCTAGTTCATCTAAGACCATGCATGTGATAGAGTTGCAGCACCAAACTGGTAGTGACGGCTTTTAATGTGCTGTACCTTCATTTTTCCTGTTGGTTTTGTAAATGGTTAAAAAAAAAAAAAAAAAAAAGGAAAAAATCTGTTGAACTTTTGACATAAAACTGTAGCTGCTACTGTAGCTAAACTGCTGCTAAGTGTCTAGGTGATAAAAGCTTTCTCCTACGCCTGTCACTCTGAACACCATTGTCAGGAAAATGTATGCATCTTTTTCCACTAAGGATAAGGACTGTGATAACATTAGCATTTAGACAAGACACTGCGCTGATGATTGTGAAATGCATTAATGGATGTGTCACTATTTTAAAAGAGCATATCTAATGGACTGTTTATATATGCCATCTCACTGTACTTATTTATTTTATAGGATATTTTAAGCATAAAATTGCACAGATCAAAGTAGAACTCTCCTGTGACCTGCTCACCTCAAGGACTCAACAGAATTAGTTCCCAGCCAGTCGTGTACACCACTGAAGGAAAATGGACATACTGAACAGCCGCCACCTTTTGTACTTTCTGCCTACCACACGCCTTGTCATCTTACTAGCAGCTTTGACCACTGCTGAGGATGTGAGTAACAGCACTTTCAACCACACTGACACACACACGGGGTCTGCGCCTGTGGTCATCTCCCACATCGACCACATCATAGTCAAGGAGGGCAGTAGTGCCTTGATTGACTGCAATGTCCAAGGGAGCCCCAGCCCACGTTACAGATGGTACAATTCCAATGGCCGCCTGCTCCAAGAGGAGGAGAGTAAAGGTAGGATCTTAGTACTAGCACTGATTTAGCCTGTCGAGAGACACTTCTGATTTCAGCAAGTTGACAAATAACCTGAATTTAATGGCCTGGCTGTGGTATTTTCCTGTGTGAAAATAAATGAAAGCTTGGTGGCAGTTATAAATTTTTTATGCACACCCTAGAAGAAAACAGTAATGTTTTATGTGTTATTTATAGCAACACATAGCAAGAAGCTGAAGAAATTAACAGAAGGTATAGACAGGCCTCTTGTCATTTGAAAACTTTTGGATTTGTTCTGTTTCTCATTCTGTCCTCCTTTGTTCTTCTCTGGCACCAAAAAAAGATTAAAAAGCTGTTTCCCAACTCAAAGGAGGATTCTTATGACATATGAAAGTTTGTTGGCATGAACTCAACGCAGCTAACTCCCTAGTATGCCTTCTGTCTTTATGTGCAGTACCATGGTAGTGTGAGAAAAAGGAGATGCCCCAAACAACCAACTGCAAAAGCTATGTAGGGGAGCAGTGAGAAGGACAGGCCAAATTTGAGCCTTCCTGGCTTTAGTTAAGACTCTTCAGTGGCATTTGCCAGAGACCATAATTACACATGAGCTTATTTTCTTTAAATGGAAAGTTTGGGTGATAATCCTAGTTACACTTCTAGGGAGTGTTTGAGGGGAGTGTGGATATATGAAAGGTGTTTTTCTCATGTAATCCTTCCATAGTGACTGCTTTGTTCACAACATGATGAAATAAACTCTTTGTTGTAAGATAGTGTGCCTAACTAATGATTGACCTGACAGCGAACTCTGCTGTGACAGGAGTAACAACTGACCCAGCTTGATGTGAAAGAGCAGTATCTGTAAGAGCTTACTGTATAACTGATTATGTTTTACAGTACAGCATGTTATCATTTTCTGAGTTAAGCTAGAGAAAGGAACTACTTGAGCTACCAAGCAGACTTTTGAACATGATTTGTGTGGTTGTGGCAACATCCAGAGATTAGTGTGCTAGAATGTATTGCTAAGGGTCACTAATAGAAAATTTCCCCTTTAGTTAGGCAGCTAATTTAGGTCTTTGTGTTGTCAGCTGAGAGAGGTAGCTAAAACAAACATTTACGTAGATGAGCAAAAAACTTTGACCAAATCAGTAAAAAATGTAGATGTAGTATTAAGACAACATCACTTTAACTTAGACTTTCAATAGTTCAATATCTCCTTTAAGAGGCTGTCTCTCCATAAGAAATGTTTCCTAGCTTCAGGCCTTTCTTTGTGGTGCTAAGTATGGCATTGAACTGGTATCAAAACGCAGCAATGATACCTTTTCTAAGAATTGTTTTCTTATGTGGGTCAATATGTCTGTCAGGATCCACTGGCATGGACCCTGTCACTGAGTTCAATGCCATTATGTCATTTTTAACAGCTGGAGCCAGGATACATCACAAGGCATCTTGTTATTTCACAATTAATTGAAAACTACTTTGAAAAAAGGACCAGCATTCAAATTCAAAGAAATACTGAGCAGTGAATACTCTGTATTTTTTGTTATGCCGGAGGTGGAGGAAGAAGTGTCATCTGTTACAGATGATAATATTTCCTCTGTAAAGGAGTTTTCTTCTGAATTTGCCTAAATTTAGCTTATTGGGATGATTTTTTTTTATGTGAAGTCTGATTTAGACTGAGCTTTTATTTGTTCTGCAGTTTTTAATTTCAGGCAAAATTATTCAGCTGTTTTCAAGAATTATGCTAGGGTAAAAAAATGTGGTTTCATTTAAGTTAAAACTTCTAAGAGGATAAAAAGATGTAATTAAGAGCTGTCTGTACACATGAACTGAGGCAGGGATCTCGTGGGAATACTTTCTAGATAGGCTTCTACTGGAGATAATGTAAAACAATTTGGGTAAGCCATGTTTAACTAGAAAAACTTTGAGGAACTAAAAATCTTAATTCAGTACCAATGAATTAAGTGGCAAATACAGTAACTAGGTTAATCTTGAATCACTTTAGCAATGACAGGAGTTATGGCTTTTTAACATGTTGTTTCAAATGCAGTTTCATACCTTAACTGTTCTACCGTGCCAGGTTCAAAGAATATGAAGTGTTCATGTATATGAAATGTATATTTCCATGCAGCAGACAAGTCATCAATTATATTACATTGATAGAAATGTCTTTTAAAGGTAAAAGACGTTCTGTCGTGGTGTGTAGAGGTTCTTACCGACATTCCCTGTCATTGGTCTTCTCCTTTCCATCTATTTTACTCCTCCTATCCTACTTCACTCTCTTTAAAATTATACTTCAAAATCAATTTCTCAACACCTGAGAGGGTAGGCAATGTAGTATATGATGTCTGCAATGTTAGGGTTTTTAAAGTTTAACAGAATTATATGAGAAACACCAAACATAACACAATTGTAAGCAAATGCAATGTCAGGGAACAAAACAGGGAGAGTTTAAGTAGGTTTTTTTGCCTCACAATCCCATTGATCCTGTTCTTTGAGGAAGTGTGACCTGTGTTTGGGAGGTTCTCTGGAGTAATCCTATCTTTGTAGCTTAACTGACCACAAGACTGAGATAGATGGGATGCATATTAGCATTTTCTATGCGACCCTTTTAGGACATGCTCTGACTATCCAGAGTCAGAGAGATGTCAGGGATTTGACAGTATTAGTAACACTTCTAGGATCTCAGGCCTTTATGAAGGTAAATTCTTTGTCTTCTTGTGAACATTATTTCCTTCTTCCAAAACCTGAAGCCAGTTTGATAAAAGTTGATGTTTAAGACTATGCTGATCATGTCACAAAATACTTCTAAGTTACTCTGTTTCCTCTCCAACAGGAAAATGGTGGTTTCTTGACAATGGGCTACTAAATATTACCCGCGTATCATTTGAAGACAGAGGTAAATACACATGTGTCGCATCTAATACATATGGCAGTGTTAACAATACTGTGACACTGAGGGTTGTTTTTACCTCTGGAGATATGGGAATCTATTACATGATTGTCTGCCTTGTCGCTTTTACCATTGTTATGATACTGAACATTACTCGGTTATGTATGATGAGCAGTCATCTGAAGAAAACCGAGAAAGCAATCAATGAATTCTTCAGAACAGAAGGGGCAGAGAAACTTCAGAAGGCCTTTGAGATTGCAAAGCGTATCCCAATTATCACATCAGCCAAAACGCTCGAGCTTGCCAAAGTAACCCAGTTCAAAACCATGGAATTTGCTCGCTATATTGAAGAGCTTGCTCGGAGCGTACCTTTGCCACCTCTCATCATGAACTGCAGGACTATAATGGAAGAAATTATGGAGGTTGTCGGCCTAGAGGAGCAAGGACAGAATTTTGTACGGCAGGCAGCAGAAGGCCAGGAGACCACTGAAACAGATGAGCTTTATATGATCCCAAACGCTTTGACACGCAGTGAATCTCCCACAGCTGACTCAGACGCATCGTCACTGCATGAGCCACCTCAACAGATTGCAATAAAAGTGTCAGTTCACCCATTGTCCAAAAAGGACTGCATGGATGGTCAGTCACAGGAAAGCGTGCAGTTGGACACCAAGGAAGAAGACACTCCTCAAACACCAGCACTTCCTGCAGAGCCCCCTCCTGAGCCTTCTGCTGAACTCAGTTCTGATGACACAGCATTGGCAAATGACAAAAATACATGCATTATATATGAAAGCCATGTATGATAGTTACTCCTGAATCTATGCATAGCAGGAAAATCAGGTGGAGCTCTTTTAAAAATACATATTGTACTTGCCGCTAAGCCTTACCTGGAGACTATCATAGCAAAAGCATGTAAGTGGATTATTTGGCACTTTCTTCTCAGTTTGAGTTTAGTTTACCATGATGTATGGCAGACTAATTGCTATTACATTAATATTAATTGCTCTTTTTGATTAGGAGTATTTCCAGGAAACATTTACCTCAGCATTTTCTAGGATGGAGTCACCTGTAGTGGCTCCTGGAAGTCACTGGTAGTCTTTGTTGTAGGACACTTGAACTTACTAAACATAAAACTGGTTTCCATTTTCTTCCTTCACGTTATTTTCATCTATTGCATTTTTGCAAATATTAACTTGTGAATTTGAAATATTGCCCAAGAGGCAGCACTCCAGTAGCCAAATAAAATCCTAATAGATCCCATTTACAAAGCCTGTTTGCTCAGCTGCATTGTGATTTAGAGGGCTATTAAAGAAAGTTAAAATGTTTCCATTTCATTTGAGACCACACTGCTTAGCCACATGGGAAATAGTTTCCCCTGCTTCATGGAATGAAGATGCCAACAATTGTTTGTTTGCATGAAGAAACAGCTTTGAGGTGCATATTACATATGGGAAAGCCATGAGAAAGTTGCAGTTCAACAGCTCTGCAGGAATTTTTTGCATACATTTGAGCATTTTCTATGTTTCCAGAAGTTTATATGGCAAACAGCGGCAAATATGCAGGATGTCTTGTTTTGAAGTAATTTGGAAGCAGTAACTTGTACCACCTTACCAGAAGATATGCAGGTTACATAACAGTCCTGCAAATGTCAGTAATCTGTTGATAACAAGGCTGAAATAGCAAAATTCCCTTTTATTTGGCTTCTTAATTTTGATATTCTGAAAACCAATCCTAAATTCATATATAAGCATCAGTTTGAGAGTGTTGTATCCAAAATGAAAAAAATATAATCAAGTGTCCTATAAAATTACAAAGACAGTCATGCAAACTGTTAAAAATTATATAATTGCATTGAGATTTTGGGAACCTCCTACATGTAGGATGTTCACTGCTCAAGTACATGTGACTCTACCCCAGTAAAGCTTTAATGATCGTAGCAATTGTGGCATTAAAAAGGATCAACATCTCTGCCAGGAAATGCCAGGAGTAGAAGGGAAGTAATAATTTCTCTTGCAGATAGACAATAAAAAGTACCTTCTCTGCAGTGAGTCTGGAAAGAAAGCACTTACAAGGAGTTTGTGTAGGGTTAATAGCATATTACTTAATTACCTGACACATTTAGTTTGGAACCAATGAACAAACTATCACCCTATAGTGTTTAAGAAGGATTGTAGTATAAATATAGACACTTAAATCTGGAATCAAGTATACTGTAGAAAAAGAAGTCTCTTAGGTCTATGGGGAGATGATCCATGGATGCTTTCTGGACATTTTAACAAAGCAGCCACATCTCCATAAGGTGTCTGTTGGAGGCAATCAGTTATATTAACTGCACAGGTAATCAAGACCAGACATAGTCAATGTTGCAGGTACATAAAAGAACTCTTGATAATGAACTGAGGTCTTGTGTCAACTTTCTCATGTTAAAGTGCAGAGCCTCACCAGCAGTGAAATACAGGAATACGCCATGGCTTACATAGGTGATGTAGAGATGGCTCCATATGTATCTTTCTGTGGTTATAAAAAAAAAATGTATATGTTTAATAATGGTCTTCAGATTTTACAACCAATTTGTGAGAAATGGCAGCATTCAGGTGTCTCATATTTTTTTGTGCTCACCACAGTGGCAGGTTTCTACACAAAATGCATTTGCACATGCCCAAAAGGAAACACGCAAGGGCAAAGTCCATTAAGAATGTGACCGGAAATATTTGAGTTCCAGCAAAGCAATACAAATGTAAGACAGAAGTTAGTTTAAAAGAATACCTTAAAGAACCTCACTTCTGACCAGTGTGATTGACAGTAGTATGATGTAAACTGTTAACTTCTTGTCTTAATCCAAAGGACATTTCTGTTGTGTTCACATCAGTTTTTCAAGTTACTTTATTTGCTTCTTATATGAAAAAGGACAAGGGCAGAAACAAAAGCAAGAACTTGCACTAAAATCCTTTAATTCACCTTAACCTCCTGAGAAGAGGTACATTAATGTTTCTGCCTGTCCAGCATTTACAAACAATGCCCATGCATTCTAAAGTTACCTACCTGGTGCCCAACTAAGATTGCACAGATAAGCAAGGATATTCTCCTTGAAAGCATAAAATGAACTTTTAAATTACACTTTATATTTTTTTAAAAGTTATAAAAATATTTATTACAGTATTTTAATTTTAATCTTTTTAAACTATGAAGTTTTTACAGTAGAGATCAGACCCTTTCATGTATGTCTATAGTGTTCTGACCCTGACTGCTTCATTCAGGCTGTCCTCCAGCCTCTTTATTATTTATTTATTGAGAAACATTTGAGAGCAAACAATCCCCATGGATTTCTTCAGTATCGCTGTGTAAACTTCCTTGAAGATACAAATGATGTTTTTCCCTAGAGGTTGCCCACAAAGGGCATGTTTGAAGTACACACAAACGCACATTGCAAACCACATGCAAGCAACTGGTACTTGGATTAGATACATGCAGTACCTGGAGTGCTGGATTCCTGCTGTTGCAAGGTCAGAGGGAACCCTGAATTTTCTAGACCTGGAGTCCTTCAGAGATGAGAGCTCACAGGTAGGACTGCTCCATCCAGTCTGGACATCTAGCTTTGTGTTATTATCAGAATAAAAACTAAACAGCAATGTAGCTGAAGAAAATACAGATTTTATACAGAACCAATGGTTCTGGTTTATGTGGGTTTTTGGTGGTTTTGTGTCTGCTGCTCAGTGTCTTATGCACCCATTATATGACACTTCTAAGCCTAAAGCTTTTTATACACTTTCAGGAACTTCCTTTGTGGAAGACAAATGGGAAGCAAGACCCAAACCTGTCTCCTGTTCCAAACTTTCTGGCTGTACTATTATAAAGTATGCAATTGTGTCTTGCAGTATTTCTTAGCAAATGGCTATTTTATGGTCTGAAAACACAATTAACAAACATAAAATTAATAATGGCTCTAAGAAAATATTAATGTTTGCATTGTTACACATTTCCATGCACCTTAAGCACTTCAGGGACATTAATCTGTTCCCATCATTGGACTATGCACACTTTTTGTTACAATTTACTATTTATTGTACCACCAAACACTAATGGTTCTTAAAACACTCAGAATCTGGAAAATCCAGTCCAACTGAAATTGCATTCTAAAAGCAAAGGATCACCAAGCCAGGCTTAATAAGGAAAAGAGATTTGCACAATTATATTTACACCATTTTCAAACAATTTTGCCAAACTTCATGAAAGATGACTAGATTTCTGCAGCAGAAGAAATCAGTGTTGGATTTGAATTTCACACTTACTATTCTTTTTCCGATAAATGTAAGACCATACTAATCAGACCATTTAAACACAGTATTCAGTACCTTTTTTCTCAACATTTTCTTTCTGAGCAGCATTTGTTTCCTGCTGATCCTTTTTTTGTTATCTGGTTTGAGCATGTTTGTGATGAAACCTACCCTTCTGGGGTTTTTTTTGTCTGTCATATAAAAAATTTAAAAGAACCCCATAGACCAGCATTTTGTGCAGGTTTGTTGGTACTTGGTAAGGCACAGAAGTACACTTCTGCGCTTAAAAATTACTGTATAATCATAAGACTTGCGAAATGGCATATACAGGCAGATGTTGATTTTTTTTAAATCAGTGCCTGTTTTATTCTAATGTAGATAACTATGTCAGTTCCTTGATTTGCAGTTACCTTTTGACAAAAGTACTGTAACATATAACCAGGGCTTTTTGACTTTCAGTTTGGTCAGATTAACTAATTCTAGAAAGTGTTAACAGTGTCAGATTTTCAAAGTTCTCATGGGATATCTTGGAAGCATGCTATTTTAAGAGTTGGCCTCTTAAGTATGCCATATTTAGTGGGACAACTGAAAGTTTCTTAGATGCAATGGAAATGCTTGCACTAAAGTCTTGTAAGTTATATTTCATTTATTATGAAATCCTTTTTGATTTTACAAGAAATGTAAGACAAATATGAATGTGTTCTTTTGAGAAGCAGTTGGTGTATTTTGATTTAAATAACTGTTATGATTTTATAACTCACGGCTGTAAACCACAAAAAGAAAAGTTCATGCTGAAATGGCAAAATGAAATGTGATGTAGCTTGTACATTGATCATTGTTTCAATAAAGAATTTGCACAGAGTATTCTGAGTTTGTACACATTCAACAAGATGTTTACACTGCCACATCATCACTTTCCCACAGAAATGGATACTTAATAGCCTACATCCTGCACTAATTTTTGGAATAACCAACTCAAACCTTTTCTATGTCTATTTTTTTCTCTCCCTGTCCTCAGCAGCTCTGCTGTGCCACTTCTCAAATAGGAACAGAGTGAAGTTAGTTGTCAGGGCAAGTGTTTCTGCACTCAGGCACCTCTGCTCCAAACTGACCTTTTATAAGTTCCCAAATGGATTTTTTCCCCCCAGCTGTACCAAGCTCTATGCTGTGTGCTATATTTAGCTCTCTGGCTCCCAAGCCCAAACTGAGTCATTTTACTCTTCCAGTAAAGGCTGACTTGTGAGTCTGTGGTATGATATGTAAGTCTGTAAATTGAGCAAAGACAGTAATGTTACCTATTTCTTATTCAAAATCATTATGTATTGCAACAAATTATAAATGTGGTAGACTTAGGACACTCAAATTATGGTATGAGAAGCTATTTCATACCACAAGACAAGGCAAAAATGACAAAAGAAAATTCAGCCTTGCATAGCATAAAAAACACATGTAAAACCTTGCTTATAATTGAATAGAAACTGAGCATCACTATCAAATAATTTTGCCATTCTGTAGCCAGTTTCTATTTTGAGAACAGATTCCTGCTACATCTACTCTAACCAGAACCTTTCCTGTGTGGCTAAGGACCTTAAGCATTACAATAGTACCAGTTATCTTAAAAAAGAGCCTCCTTTCCCTTATCTGCAATTTAAAAAAATATTTTCAGGACTATTTAGCTATGTATCAAATCCCATTCACAGACTACCACCCGTCCTGTTGTGGAGCCACAGAGTTTGAGAGTTCATGTTGAAGATGCAGAAGCTGGACCTTCTGAAATATATTTACCTTCTTTTACAGGTTTTGACTTTACCACTCAATTAACCATTTGTATTTATTAACAATTCAGTCCCAGCCATTCTCAATTGATAAATACAGAGAAACAAAATAAATGCCAGAAAGACTTCATTTTTTCCAAAGCCTCTTAATGCTGCTGCCTCAAAATTAGCCCTGATTGACAGACAGCTCCTGAGTTGTTTGGGTATTGTTTAACTCCTTCCTGCTGGTAAACACTACCTTAGTAAGAAAACAGAATTCCAAAAAAAAAAATATATATATATACCAGCCAGAAAACGAAGCTCCCTTCTTAGGAGTCACACACAGATCTTGCCTATTTAAAATGCTTTTTATCCTTCTCTCTAATATGTGCAGAGTAAACAGCCTCAGGAAAAAACAGTAAAAAATATAGAGAGAAATTTAAGAAGATTAAGATGGAAATTTTTTTTGCTCTGAAAACATCCAGAGGTGATTTATCTTCAAAGTATATTAAATTCTAACTTGTTTTACTATAAACATACTCAAGTGAAGAAAAAAGAGATTCATAAAAACAATGACATTTTCACTCCCAATATCAAAATAAATTATCACAAAACATATGAAATATGAAATATATTTCCCAGTCCTTCTCTTAGAATGCCTTTTATCAGAGAAGAGTGCTTTTTATGGTTCTACCTAGATGACTGCAGCTTCTTTATGGCTTTAGTGGAAGTGCATTTCTTTTCTGCTGTCTTCATGGTTAAATATTCTCTACCCTGTGTGATCACCATTTGTGAATTAAAAAAGAAATCAATATTCCATTGAAGATTTATCTTTTTGTTCCATTTTCCTAGTCCAAAACCTTATTTTGTGTTTTGTTCTACTGCTTGGATTTTGTTTTGTTTGCCCTAAAATTCTTCACATTTGAAAATAAATCAGAGGATGCTAGTGGTTTTCTTCAGTTGCCTGTTTTGGTGCAGGATCACTCACCTATCTGTATCACCTATCACTATACCTATTTCTATAATTCAATTTTAATTATGCCAACATAAAATTAATTATTCCCAAGTTGGTGCAGGATAAACTAATGAATAGACTGCAGCAGATTTTTTGCCGAATGCCATAAAGAAAACAGGTAAATCCATAATTCCCAAGACACAAGTGGAATAAATGTCATCATTCATTTATGAGTCTATGGGCATGTTAGGTTCTTTTGTGTGTTCATTTGAAAAAGTCATACATAATACACCTCTGCCTTAACACATTTCTTTTCCCATCATGGATGGAATAGCACATTTTGATCATCCATACATCATTATCCACTACCTTCATTAGTTTGTCTTATTTATTTAATACCTGGCCAAGTGCAAGGGCCTCTCTAAATCTGGTATTTCTAAAAAGACTGCTGACAGCTTCAGGACACTGTGTAAATTATATGAATTTCAAAATAATTGATAAATGCTTTTCCACTTTTTTTAACTGAAATGTTGTATTTCTACATAGGCTAATATTTATACACTAATGAAGTTTGTGTTTCACTAGAAACTGCAGTTTTCATAAGCATGCAGTAAAATGGCAGTAATCTGCTTCTGAATAAAACTGCTTTTTGCAACTACAGTTTCTACATTTCATAATCCCTGTGTAATCTCTCTTAAGCACAGAGCTCATTTATTAATTAATATATGTGCACCAAATGAAGTGAAAGGATCCAAATCTCTGTTATTCCTGTAGACTGCACCAGACTACTAGTTATTTCATTAGAATATATAATAGACCTACCCCAGCACTGTAACTGCTGTTGCAGTCACCAGAAATAGCCCCAGAGCATTAGCCAAATGTTATATGATACACCACCACTGAGAACTACATCCCTACTCTACACCAATTCCTGAATAAAAACTTCAGAAAAAATCCATCTCTTCTTAGCAGGAAAGCAGGGAATGAAAGCCTCAGAAGGACTTAACATTTCACATGTTTTTCAGTGAAAAAAAAAAAAAAACAACAAAAACAGTAGGAAATTATTGGGGACTTGTAAAATTGATGCAGGAGCTAAAATAGCACCCAAGAGAGGAGGTCACTGCGCCACAGAAGCTCATCCCAAAGGCAGCTGTCGGTTGTCATACAGTAGCTACAGACACTTCTCAGGGTAATCCATGATATTGTAAGGAAGCAAATGTTGTCATAGATCATGTAAATTAGGAGCATCCAGGAGACTATGGACAGTGTTGCAAGATGCAATTCCCAGACTGCTCAGGTGATTCTGCTGCATCTGGAACTCAAGTCCTTTTCCTGACTAGAGATGGACACTGGGAGCATCACCAAAGATTTTGCACTGTGATGGCAGAGCCAGACCCTTGCATGAGAACCCTATTCTTTCCTTCTGGCTTGATGTTGTGACTAAAATATGGGCTTTATTTGCTGTAGAACTACACGATAGTTGTTTTCCAAGAGGCACTAAACATGGGCTCTTCAGTGAGGCTGAAGACTGCTGAAGACCCTGTGAATGCACGAAGAAAGAGCTGTACTAGCAGGTGTGAGGTTACCTTTGTACTGCACCAGATAAAGACTCTTCCAGAGGCCTGCCAGCATTCAAGCTGAAAAGGACTGTGATGCTGTGCATCTGGAGAAGAACAGGTGGGTGGGAATGAGTGATCTGGAGGCAGCCTAGGACAGTCCGATAGTCATGGAATTAAGATGACCATCTCATGCTTATTACTGGAAAACACCTCCAGCAAAATCAACTCCCTGTCCCTATCCTCTCTACTCTAAAGAAGTATGTCATACTTTGGCAGCTCAGCAACAGCTCCTTGTCCTACCTATTCTAGCTCTGACCAACCAGCTTTCATTTCTTATTGAGCAGCTACAAGGTTGTCTAATCCTAATAGATGTTTGCTGTGGTTCTTCTTGCCCTGTCTCACACATTACTAATTTACAAGAAGGCATGAGATTCACTTGCCAGCACTCATGTAAAAAGCTGGTCCTCAGAGACCTAAAAGACTGACTATTTTGTTCCAAAGGAAGATGTACACAAGCTAGACACATAAAGATGAATTAATAGATTTAGAGTGCCTGGTTAAGCCCTGTGTGTTTAACTCATCTTCTCATTCAGTAATGGAAGAATGCTGGCCAGATTAACAAAGTACAACATGACCTATTGCTGTGTTTTAACAGAGCGTTCTATATTTTTTCTTTTAACCTGTAAAAATTGAGTCCTGAAAGGTCAAGAGAACACAGATTCCAGACTTAATCACAACATTTTCTTCTCACCATGACATAAACTCCATTCTGTATCTATTCACTATTTGCAGAACAAAGACAGGATATCCTAGAAAAATCAGTATTTTCTCGGTGATGGTGGTTGTCCTCAGCTTGCCTCCAGGTAACACAAAAAAAGGTTTTAAGAAGCTGTCAGGTATCAGAATCGATAGCAAATGCTTTTGATCAGGTGCCTTGTTTGGAAAGTGACTACAGTAAGGATTCCCATTTTGTAAATGAGGTCTTTTGACTTTATATTGAGTTACTATATAATGGACTGTAAAAAAACAATTTTACTGGAGCAAATTACACAATCTTTCACAAGCTTGGCCTGCTGATGCAAACTTTTTTTTTTCTTGTAGCAGTATGGTATAGGATATAATATGTGCTACAAAACTGTATTGCTCTACTCATGCAATTAGAGAAATTTTATTGAAATACAGAATCATAAAAAGAGAAGTCACCCCTCATATTTTTTCTTTCAAAGTCTATCATCAATAACCATAGCTTGTGTCACGTCATAGTCACAACAAATGAGACAGATGCTGATAACTTTTCTGTCCACTTCTGCCTAGGCCATGCCACTCCATAAGTGTTGACAATTTGCTGGCTTTGGAAAGGCTAAGGAATGCATTCTCAAGGGCTGAAAGGAAAATGTTCTACAAATGCCAAGCTGGAACTTGGCACCATGATCATTTGGCAGATGAACAGCACTGTACATAAACAAGTAGACAGAGGGAGCTTAAATTCTAAATACCCTCTTGAGAAAAGATAAAAAACAGTTCCTAGGAACAGTGAACAGAGGCTGTCAGAAAAACTAAGATCATTGATTTTTGGCATGAATGACTTATGAATAT